AGCCAAAAACACTTTAAAAGTAACTTTAATTAACTGTTCAAACTGATTAAGCGCCCAAAGTTTAGTCAGAGGGTTCTTCAATTGAAAATTGAGTTATTTGTCTTGTGTAATTAAAAAAAAACTTTTTATAATCAAATGAATTTCTTATGAATTTGTTTTTACATGCCAAATGTAAGTTCATTTTTAACCCTTTGGAAGAATTTGTGGTATGATGCGTTCAGAATGCAATAACAGTTTATTACACGCCTAGTCTGATTACGAAGTGACAAAGTTCACAATCGGTAGGTGACATATCGATGTAAAGTAAATGCTTGTCTGTAGTATAATTTTAGTTGTACAGTAAGTTCAAGGAATGTGATATATTATTATTCCAGACTGATTCGTTTTATTTTAGTACAATGAACCTGTGTATTGGGTGATATTGTTTGTTACTAGTGAATGGCGGCTTCGCGCGTCCATAGTCCTCGGTAATCAGCCAAAACTACTACGATCCTCGCTTCTTATGTATTAGAGAGATCAAACTATATAATCATTGAATGTTAAATATAATCAATATTCATAAGTGTAAACGGTGTTTGCTGTTCGTGCGTGTTGTATATAAAATTTGTTTCTGTATACCCTCAGTAGAAAATGGTGGTCTTTTTAATTTTGTCAACTGACTAAAATGAATTATAAATGTTTTACATTTTATCCCAGTCATGTAGATAGAAAATATCCACCTATGACCAAGTATGTGGCTATAGACGCATGCATTTAGGTCTTATTTAAAACTGCTTTAGTTATATTATTATTTGTGTAAAAATCGTTATGAATTACAAATAGTAAATGTTAGTTCTTAAGTATCGTTTGTTATTTTGTATGATAGTTGCGGAGGTCCGAAACATATTCCATCAATTCAATAAAGAACCCTTAAATGTCTCTCGGCTGTGCCCACCTTTATTTAGTCTCTTTGCAGCAATATGCAGTTATGGTTCTTATTTAAGGCAGAACAGACTGTTAACATCTTTATGTAATTTTAAATATGTAATCCTTCCCCAGTATACACTAATCGGGGAAACTTCACCAAATATCGCGTATCTGTACATATAGAAAAATATTTTTGTGATAACTATTTCTAATACTAACCGTCATAGCAACTGGATAACTGTTTTCTGGCATATTTGCTAGGTTTCTATTTTTTATAATATCTATGTGCGAGAGCCTTCGGAGAAGCTAAATTCACCCGATTCAATAGGATTTGATAATACAGTTCCATTTTTAGTAGTTTAAAAAGCAATAATCTTATAGCCTTCTCATTTTTCGTGAAAGAGAGAAATGGTTTTTGTACAAATGTTTAGGCATTGGAAACGTAGTAAACCGGGTGAACTTAAGTTTCTTTGAACGTTTGATAAATTTATTTTTCTATCAATTTTCTTAACTACCCTACATTCGCAAAGCTAACTTCATGCAGGTTAAGTGACGTATTCCATCTCGCTATCACTAGTTCATTCAAGGGGCCAGTGGATGCAGGCTAGTAGTTGTCACTACCTCAGACTATTGTATAGGTTAGTATGGTTGTGAGAACATTCTAGAGGGTAACTGAGCTAGTTCGTGGAAATTTTAACGAAAAGAAAAATACTCAGCCAAATAAATGTTTATTTATAAAAATGAATTGTTAATTTTTCTTGTTTTTATTTGTAAGATAAGTACATGTACAATACGGTGGAATACATATTAAATACATGTACATAATATTTCACAGTGTACATATAGACAGTAAATGCCTACCTGCAATAGCAATAAGTATCTATGTACTAATGTATTGTTTTGTTAACCGCTATGTTTTCGTAGCAAGTTATGTATGTACGACCGTAATGTATTGCGTATTTCGTAAATATAAATTTGTTTAATTTATCCCAATAATGAAATACTTTTTATTTAAATATACTACATGTACGTGGAACATGTCGTTTTTAACTTCATATGGACAATTGTTTGTTTCATAGAATACCTTAACAAAAACACTAGGTGTCGATATGCCAAGTAATTTAACAACGATGGCTCAGGTTTGTGAAATTAAATAAAAATATTTGTCATATGTACACGAGGTATATAAAAATGATTTAACTTGCATGAGTTCAGCAACAATAGATTTTAATGAATTTTTATTGCGAAGACACTGATTTATTGCTTTTTATCTAATACCCACAAAAAAATAACATGATTTTTGGTATAACTAATAAAATAACTTAAAAATTGATTCATGTGTGTTATTTCGACGGAGTATCGTAACATCCTAGTAGCGGCGCAGTATTTACATGTACATCAATTTAAACAACAGTTTACTATATGGAATGTCAATATATTTTAGTTCAATATCTACATTTGATTTAAAGATTGAGTAAGTGACTGCAATTTAAATTTGCTTAACAATATACAATGCTCGCTCGTGGACGACGGAGGTATGGTTGCCGTTCGGCGGCCAACGACCGCCTCGGCTTTAAATACTTTACAAGATTTCCACTGGAGTTAACTATCTACAAACATAAAAAAGACATATTCCAATGTAAAATAAATATATTTCCAAATCAAATGTATGACATTTGATTTGTTTTACGATGACAGACTGATAAAAAATCTACTAACATTAAGCAATATTTATCGAAAATCGAACACGTAACAGAAATTTATTTTACTATTAAATACATAACGCACGCCTCGCCCCGGGGCCTGCGTCGTGGCCTCGGACAACACGCAACTGCGCCACGCACTGCTTACACCGTGCCCTCTCTACACCGCCATGAGATTTTATGTAAACACAATGCTAACGGACCTTGCGGTCACCATCACGACAGTCAATAAAATATTGAGGGACAGGAACAACAACTCATCATTTATTTACTCATACACTAACAACATTCGAATAATATGTAACAATTACATACACAGTCAATAAGTAAAAGTAAAGAATTTAAATCGACTACTATATAGTTCATTTCTCTTTTATTAGTTACAAAATTAATAGTTACAATACTAAAACATTAGTATCTTTTGCTACGACACATCGCTAAGTTTTACTTTAACATACATTAGTCATTTGTATAAAACTGAAAATAATATTAAAATTATAGACGCGATGCAACGCAGGTAGTAGGGAGATGTCGCGTCGATGGAGACGTTTGTTACATAAAATCTCATCGTGCAAAGCGCCGCGCCCCCGCCCCCGCCCCCGCGCCGCCCCACCTCGCCACACATTACACATTTGATTGTTTCAATTGATTATCTATCAGTACATTAAAAATAAAACATTTTTGATTTATCAATTTAAAATTCTACAATTCTATGTTCAATACATACTATAAAACAAATATGGAAGGTAGAAGACACTTCTAGAATAAAATATAAATATAGGCTTACGAATGTAAAGAGAGTTTACATTAAGAACTTGCATACAAACTTATATTACATTATTTAAAATGCAACCCTCTGCGGAGGCCCGCGCCCTCTCCGGTCGGATGTTACAACAGTTTTATTTAAAATATAAGTATATCTATTCACAGCACTTAACCACATATAATAAGTCGATAACTTCACTCGGAGAACAATCACAAACACTCGGGCGTCACCGACCATCGTTCAGCGTCAGCGTCGGCGTCACCGGCCCACGCCCACACGCACTCACACTGTAGATTGCATTGACATTTATTTATATACCATATTTACAATTAAATTAAACTTTCACGAAGCACTTTACAGCGACTCTTCAAACGCAGCCATCAGGTCACTCTGCATGTTCATGTCTATCTGGCCCGCCATCTGCAAAATATACAAAAACTCTGCTAAGCTATCGACTTCACAATAACTGGTTCAGTGTTTCGTTTACACACAAGATTACTAATACAAAATGGCACGCATGCTGTCTCTTTCTTCCGTGTATGTAGTGTGTGTACTGACCGCCTCTCGCCGGCGCCGCTCCTGCTCGCGCTGTCGCAGGCGCTCGCGCTCGCTGGCGGGCTTGTTGTCGGGCGCGACCTGCGCCTGCGCCTGCGCCGCCGCCGCCGCCGCCGCCGCCGCTGCGGGCGGGGAGGCGCGCGCCACCGGCGACACGCTCGGCGACGACACCTCCGCGCTCTCAGTCTTGCGCACGTTCTGTACCACCCTGCACACACAAACATACCAAAACTGTTTATATACAACTAGTAATAACTCAAAATATCTAAAACGCTACCAGTATACGACTTCGTTCTGTGAAAATAAAAGTTAATTCACAACGTGTCCTAGCAAGTGAAAAAAGTTCTCACCTTAACTTTTCTTCCTCAGGATGTCGCCTCTCCGTTTCTTGCCGCTGTCTCTCTCTTTCCGCCTGCTCTTTTTTCCTTAATTCCTGCTGTTCTAGAAGCGCTCTTTGTCGATCAATTTTCTCTCGAGCTTGTTTCTTGAACGCCTACAACGATACAGATATGTTAAGACATTTTCGTAAATTGCAAAACATTATGAATCTAACGAATAAAAAGGACTTACTTGGAAACAACTATCCATAACAGGTTTTTGTTTGACTTGATTATTCGTTCCTATGTTGGGGATGTTCTGCGGACTGCCGGCCTGCGCCAGGGACGACCAAGAACTAGCGTTTTTCAGATTTTGCTCCTGTTTTATTTTGAAAGGCTGAGCAAAGTTTTTCGACTCCTCCATCTTTTTCTCCATATCATATTTCGTTCTCTCGGAAACGTTGTTCGTCCCCATATTGGGTACGCCCATCAGGTCTTCTATAGGTTTAGGCGTGAGGAGGGGCTTGGGCTCCTCCTTCTTGATGTTGGGAGTAATGAGCGCGG